CACGTGCACCCTGTGCTCCCCCCTAGTTACGGCCCTGTCCTGCAAACACAACTTAAATAGAAGATACTTTTCTTTCGCATACACATAATACTTTGAGGCTTTGGAGGGTAACCAGAGAAAAAAAACGCATTTATTTTGATTTTAGSCTGATCAGACAATGTTGAAAACACCTCGCCTAGATATCCAAATATAAAAGTAAAAAACAGAAAGAGATAATACCAAGAGAAAATTAACTACTTCATTTTCTCTTGATAATACATTTTCTGTAACACTAAACCTTTTGATGTTCTGAATGCGCAAAATTAACAAATTAACTAAGAATGAACTAATAATCAATACTGCAAAGATAAAAAACAGGTATTGTGTATTTAATTGAAGAACGTTTCTTTTTCGGGACAGTGTTTTGATTGGTTAGCCCCAAGGCGCAAAGAATTATGGGACATGCGAAAGTAGAGAATACAAGAGATGCGCTTGTAAGATACCGAAAAAAGATGAAATAAAAACAATTCAGAAAAATGTATGAARTTGACAATCTGACACAAATGAATGCAGAGTTTTTTATAGAGCGCACACRACAGTGCTCGTATCAATGTATAGAGCTTTAGAAGGATCCATTTGCATTTACGAAAAAGCTCTATGGAATCGATACGGGGTGCCCTTTTTATTAGCTTCAGCGGCCGTTAGAAAAAGTCCGGGATATCATAAAGCAAAGAAGAAAGCCAACAGCAAAARTGTAAGTAAATCAACAATGGCAGGAATGATTGTTTTTCTAATCTATTTGCTATCTTTAGGACTCTTTCCAGTAACCCAATCAGCGTTATAGAGGAAGGCGCTTTCTCTAGGATGAAGGATCTGGCCGCGGTGTAAGTTTACGAATCTTCTTCAGGGGGTTGAGAAACTTGTATTTAAAAATAGTAATACAGAAGGAAATTGCATGGATGCGACAGRCTCATGCTCTTTGTGACAGGAATACCTCATTTCTTTTTTTTTCCTTTTATGGTAGATATCTCATTGGCACCAAACTCCAAGTCATTGACATTGGATCAAGAGCAACTTTTGCTTCCAGACAACTACACATCGCGCAGTAAGTATTTTGTCGCCTGTCAACTTCTTTAGTATCATTCCTTTCTTTGCCAGTAATTGCAATGATTTCAGTTAAACTACACGGGTAATTGAGAAAGGTCTTGCCTGTAGGTCATAGTGTGACATTTACGTTGAGGTTTTCCCCATCCATAACCGGTAGCTGTTGCTCATGGCCTCATACTCTAGCCTTTGTGGAAGCCCGGAACCTGTGGCGGGGGCAGAAAAAACGTTGCATTGAACTATTTCATTTTAAGTCCACTATTTTTCAGGTCAACGGGCAAGAATCTACCAGGCATTGAAACAGTATTCATCGGAAGACCACTTTTACGCAGCTCTGGTTACTGGTGTCTAGGAAAGGCAAACGAAGCTAGCGCATTTAAGTTCTGTTTCCCATGTGATCAAGGCGAATACAAGCTCCATGTCTTTAATGAGCGTGGTTGTCATAAGTGCCCACCAGGTATTTTATGAACTAAACGACTTTAGACCCCATGTAATTTAATGTCCCCTCATCATACCAAAATTTGTGCTACCAAATAGGACGTTTGCATGATGGAGTCAATTGACCCCCACTACCAAGATGCTTCGAGAATTTTCTTTCTTATTGTATTCCCTCGTGAGAATAGTAAGACAATTGGTGCTAATTAAYTGAAYCAAAGAAAATGTGCAAGGGAGTCTGGTAGTAGAGGTCAATGACGCCATCGTGCAAACGTCCTATTGTAACAACAATTTCGATAAGCATATCACATGGAAACCTGCTTTCGGAYTRGCTGTGATTAAATATCACAAGCATCAAGAATTCCAGYTTCCAGCTTCCAGTTGCCGGAGTGCATTTTGGGATATCAAATGAGTACCCAGGCTACTTGGTTCCGTTCCGTTCCGAAAAATGTGTATGTCAGTGCATGAAAGTGCTTACTTTCTATCCCATAATGCATTGTGTACCAACTGGAAGCTGGAGTTCWTGATATTTGTATAAGAAAAGAAAATAGTTTGGCTTGCATTTATTAGGATGTTGTTTTCTTCTTGAAAGAAAATTTGAATCATTTGCATGTTGTTGAAGGTGGATTTTACCAAGACAGCATAGCACATGTTGGTGAGCTGGTTCATGGAATTGGTTGCAAGCAGTGTCCCGTGGGGACCTACGTCASTCCTAAAAATGCTCCTGGAAGGAACGAAGAATTTTGTTCGGCTTGTCCAAAAGGTAATTATGTATACTTAATTTTGTGTTTTTACTTCTACCATCGTTACATACACCCTTCTACGCCAAACTATTAGAAAGGTCTCGAAAGAAGATGGAGAAATTTAGGTTACGAGGCTAACTCCGTTAAAATATTAAACCTTTTGAATAAAATAACTGTTGTTAACGCACACACTTTCTATTTTGTCACTCTTGTCGGCTATTCTAATTTTTAATTAATAAAACAAAAAAATCTTGGTTGCTGTGYGTAGTTATAAACCACTGTGTGTAGTGATAAAACACTTGGGCATTAGCAGAACCCTCGAAAATTGTCGAGAAGCACTCCGCTACCCGTTGTGCTTCTYGTGAAACTTCTCTCGTGTTCTGCCAATCTGCGCATGCTTTATAACTGCAAACAGCACGTGCGCGCGTTTTCTTTTTCTTCAGAACATCACAGAAGTGATGGCTGCCGGCATGTGTGTCTAAAAACTGAAGCTTTATAACTACTGACACAGCACGCGCTCTCTATTTCTTCAATTATGTCCACGGCACTCCTGTATTAATCCATTCAGTATTAATAATTTTTCCTTGCCCTTTAGGAACAAACCTTAAACGGCTAGCTGCCTTCAGAGCATGTCCTTGTCTCGACAATTATTACCGTTTAAATCGGTTTGGCAACTGTATTCAATGTCCACTCGGTTACGAATGCGCCAATGAAACGGTAAACCTACATCCGGGTTTTTACTGGATATGGAATAGTGAAACCGTTAAAAAAGCTTACCTGACATTCACTGACAAGCTTCGAGTAGAGAACAAAGACCATGATTTGAACTGGATAACATTTAATGACTCACTTCCAGTGGCTTATCTGTGTCCATTCGTGGGTTCATGCGAGGTATGTTTATGTCCTTGGGTAGCTACGCAGGGTGCAGGAAGTAAACAAACAAACAACAACAAAAATACGCTTTATAAATTGCCGCTAACTGACGAGCATCAAGGCTTTGCTTCCGCCTATTTTGACGAATATTTGGACCCTTTTCTCAGGAATGTCAACAAAGACCCTTTTCTCATTACTGTCAACAAATCATAATCCAATAACCTTGAAGGACAACGGCGTTCATAGTGAAGATTGCTTTTGTATTATTTTTCGAATAGTAAAAAGTAGACTTTCCCATATTAAATGTTTGACGCATAAATTTTGATGCGCACACTCCGCAAAAAGTAAAAAATAAAATCACTTGGATTTAGTGTTTAAAATGTTAATTATTTTCAATATTTTTAATAAAAGGGCGGTTTTGAWGCAAGGTGTTCTGATGGTTACGAAGGAACGTTGTGTGCTGTMTGTTCCAAGGGATTCTACAAGATGTACTCTGGCTGTAACAAGTGCCCTTCGTTGTATCTGTTCGTKGGACAATGCTTAGCCGTGTTGGTTGTGATTGTTGTGATAGTGTTAGTCATCATTAAAGAAAAAAGATCCGAAGTATCAAAAGGGCGGTCCGTCATAGACACTATCTTTGGCAGTCTTAAGATCATCATTGGTTTTTATCAAGTGACCAGTGGCACACTTCGAGCCTACTCCTATATTCAGTGGCCTGCAGCTCTCACGAAGTTGATGAAGTTCGCAGATGTGATCCAGCTGAACATCTTCAAGCTCTTTCCGGTAGAATGCGTGCGAAGTTCCATCAAAATAACACCATACATTGGCCTTGTCRCTTATGTATCACTCGATGTACTTGTCATTATTTCTGCAATCGGGTATTTCAATGCTAGGAAATTCTTCTTGAGAATGACATTGGTGGACGGCGAAGGGCAACAGAGAAAGAAGCWATCCAAGTGCAAGACCAACTGCTATCGAGCTGTGTTTCTTTTTCTGTTCCTTACCTACCCAGCAACTTGTGAGAAAGTATTCCAGGTTCTTCCAGCTGGCTGTACYAAGGTCTGTGACAACCAGCAAAACTGCAACTGGTATCTTCGATCAGACTACTCCATCCAGTGCTACACATCAGTCTACAACAAGTTCGTTGTCTTGGCCTATTTTGCGTTGGTCATTCCTATTATTTTTCCAGTTGTYGTGGTTCTGCTCTTATGGAAATACTGCAGAAACAAGAACAAAAAAGAGGACGAATTTACAAAGGAAAAGGACTTACTCCCCCATAAGAAAAGACAAAATAAAGCCAACGAATTTCAGCTGATGGTGGGGAAATACGATATCAAGRCTGGTATGAGGTTCATTTATGAGAATTACAGCGAAGATTGTTGGTACTGGGAAGTGATCGAGCTTGTTCGTAAGGTCATTCTAACTTCCGTACTTGTGTACTCAGGCCAGAATGGACGCTTGTTTCTTGGCGTTTCAGCCATCATGTCTGGATTCTATGCTGTATTCTTCGCCTACTCCAAACCTATTCCTCACATGTTTGAACACTGGCTCCACCTGGGGTCTCTGATGGCTACACTTGCTAATCAACTGATGGGAATGCTGCTTAAGAYTCCTGCAGAAACAGTTTCCATGTCAGTGGATGAAGAAGATGATAATCTTGGTATCAGCGTAATGCTGGTGTTTGCAAATGTGTTTCTCATGGTAATGATCATAGGTAAGATCGGTATCATCATGACGACCTTCAGCAAATTAAAAACATTCCTCTTTATGTAAACTGCTTAATCCTATGCGTTCCCATGAGAACATASGCCATTCATCATTGTCCTCCACCTCACCCTGTTCTCAACTGTTTTCTTTGCCTCTTCCCAT